TATGCGGGAGACCCTGATCGACCGCCTCGTTGTAAATCGGGATCCCTGCTCGTCCGATGTGCTTGTATGCGGGAGCCCCTGCTCGACCGCCTCGTTGAGAATCGGGAACCCCTGTTCGACCGATGTCTGTGTGTACGGAAACCGCTGTTTGACCGCCTCGTTGTGCATCGGGAACCCCTGTTCGACCGATGTCTGTGTATGCGGAAACCGCTGTTCGAACGCTTCGTTCTGTGGCTCCGTCAGTGTAACGGAACATACTGCGCACAGAGGGCCATCGCTCTCTCTGTGTTGACTACTAGTCGTAGCGAGTTCGTTCACGACCCTGACGTGAGGCCAATCGATATAGCGACCAACAAATGAGTAAATACTTCACTGAAGTCATATCCGCTTTGTCGTTTGACGGACCTAAATAGCCAATCTATCTTCGGCTGATACCGTGACAGCCACGGTATCCCAAGTATGCAATCAAATGCATAGTTCATCTCGTACACCAAAAATTCGTCGTTGCTCTGGAAGCCGTCGAAAGTGTACAAAAAAACTGTTTCACGCGGGACACGTTTTGGTTGTCCATCGGCAAGTTTGACAACGATGTCACCTGGACCTTCTCAAACCGTGATAGCCGACGGGAGTAGGTACAAACAGGATGCACGAAAGAAGTTGTTGGAAGCGCCAGAATCCAACAACGCTCGAAGTGGTCGCTTCACTCCAGCAACGATGAGACTGATAATAATCAGTCTCGAATCATCGCGCATGATGGTGGCATTGAAGTGAGTATAAATCACTTTGGGGCTAGGAGCCCGAGCTGCCACCTGAGTACTCGGGGCTCCATTTCTGCCAGTAGGGCGCCCCACGCCTACTGGAACTACTCGTTTTTTGGCGGGACCACCGACGACACAGCGTCTTCTCGTGACTCAGCTGTGTTGATAGTCACCGGCGCAGGTGCACGACAGACAGCCGCACGATGGCCTGTTTTTCAGCGAAAACACTTCATCGTGTTAGGATTGCGAATGTCGCGGCTTAATGATTTGCCCGACCACGAGAGGACTCAATTGCATCAATTTCCATTGATCTGGGCCAAACTTCCGGGAATGTTGTGACGCTCGTGCAGGTACGACGACCGACAGTGTAATCCTCACATACCGAGGGCAAATGACTCCTCGAGGGACTTTGGCTCAGCACGTGTGAGACAGTAACGCGTCATGCCCTCTTGCATACCAAAAATAAAGACATGGACTTGTGAATACATGTCAATTGGCTGCGTGGTAATGCACGAAGCAAGATGACGTGTCTTCTGCACGTAGTCACGCATCGACAGCTTGCCCTGTCGGAGTGAGAAGAAATCTGCACGCAAGCGAGATTCATCTTGAGGAGGCTCGAGATCCAGTCGTAAGTCACGTTAGATATCGTTGAGCGTAGGAAACGCCGACTCATCTACGACGAGCTTTCCGAGAGCCCATTCCTTGGCTTTGCCAGCAAGACGAGACAACAGGAAATTGACCTTGGACGTCGGAGCGTCAATTAATCTTGACGCTATAGCAATATCCACCTCGCGAAACCAGCGATTAAGGGGGAGACGATCCGGACCATCACCGGAGTACATTGACGTCTCCATCTTGATAGCATCATGGTGCGAAGTGCGCGAGGGAGTCAATACTCACCGATTCGCTTCGGCGAGCTCGCGCACCATAAAGTCTTGGATGGCGGCACGTTGAGCATCAGGCGTCGCTGTGCTCAGCAGCGACGTCACAATAGTTTCGCCAGACACCCGAGAGCGGTGTAGTGCCTCCACTCCACCGAGATGAGATGTGGGAAGTCAGAATGCTCCAGCGAGACCGCTGGAGCCACCGAAGACTCGTCAATGTTCATCTCGAATCTGGTCATTGGAAGGACTACGAAGTACTGCCAGGTGTACCGGGCTAAGGACCCGTTACCATCTTACACTAAAAGGGCGTTGAGGAAGCGCTCTCAATTTTAACTCGTAAATATAACTCTGTTTTATTTTTGTTTTAGTTTTGCCTCGCAGTAAGTGCGAATTTGTTCCCTAGCGCATGGGAACCACTCAACATGGAAGTCAAATTATTATTGGTTAATTATTGGGTCTGGCACCCCAATAATAAACCAATAATAAAATGACGCGCAGTATCCGCTAATGGGATACTGCCCTATGCCTACTTATGTAATTATGCATTATTCCTATAACTACTCATGTAATAGGTTGCCCCATTACACCGACTGTGTAAATTGGCGCTCATTGCCACAGATTTTCCGTCGTGATGCTTCTCCTTCCTTGATTGATGCATCAGGTGCGCGACGCTGGATGGTCGACCGTATTGACGATCATCAGGATCGTAAGTTTTATGCGTCGAGTAGTGACTTGGCGCCCACAAAGAACCATGTCGAAAAGCATAACAGGGTTCGCTGGAGGGACATTCAACGGAAAACGATACATAAAAGCCTCAAAGCAACAACGATCACTAGAGCGACACTGAGATCTATTTGGAGCTCGAATAGATATGGATTGTATGACATTCGATCGTGACCAATTTTGAAGGTGTTGATTATCTTGAATCTTCCGTAACCACGTAGACGCTCTTCACTCGCTATCGTGCAGTAGAGCAAGGCAACCATCAATTACACCGATGACGCGTTGTAACGATTATAGTGCGCCTTATTAAGACGATGATACGATACTTGACGTGAAGGAACTTCATTTACAACCAAACTGAATAGGCGCGAATACACGCACAATAAACATTCTGCTGGAAATTTGCGCCGCCGCATCTGTCGCATGACACGTAATTAGTGGCGCCTGTACTACATGTCCGTAAAGGATGTCAGACGTGCAAGATGATTTATCCGCGTCTGTCTCGTAATCTGCATCAAGTTGGGATGTCGGAATATGGCCCGACATAGAGGAGTAGGGAAGGTTTTTTAGGAGATCCACCGGTAGGTAAGATCTACAGGTGCCCGACGTAGAATATCGTCTTCAAACGCAGAGCGGTAGGTATGTCTAGTGTGTAGGCATCACCGTGAAATTTTATAACCCACATCGAGCCAACATATCTTGGCGTTAACCTATTAGGGACCAAGTTCGTCACTGTTGTGGCGGTAATCCGCTGTTGGCAAGTAGACTCTGTCGCCTTCTCGAAATGCCAGTATATCTCTGACCTCTTCTGTCAGCGTTCTCCTCTTGATTGTCGACTACCTCTGGTAGTGCATCTCGAACAACACGCGTAATTCCTTGTCGTATTAGCAGCAATTCGATTGCTGCAGCCGAACTCAAATCGAAGTATGCTGTAATGGGGGAAATTAGCAACGAGAGACGCGATGGAATGCATCGCGTCAGGACTAGATGAGCCGTTGTTCACAGATTAAAAGCATAAATTGCGTCGACAGCAACCTTATGTGTTTTGGAATCAATTATATATCCATTTCGCCGACGGGATATATAATTGATTCCAAAGCACATAAGGTTGCTGTCGACGCATTTTATGCTTTTAATCTGTGACCAACGGCACATCTAGTCGCGAGATACTCCATATTAAGCTATGAGACCGGGTGTAACGGGGTACACGACGGTTGCAACATCATCTCGAAAGTTTACGGTTGAACTCCCCTATACATTGCATATAATGCATTTTGATACTTCTCTATAGAGAGGTATTATGTATAAGCGTTAAGATACGGTATTCGGTAATACCGTATCTTATCGATTAGGATTCGTAATCGATAACGCTGTACTAAGTACATCATACACAGATGTTTAGACGATACGTCGTCCAATAGCAAAGTCTGCATATTATAATTACTATCATAGTATATAAATCTAGTGTAGTGTACTTAGAGTAGGACTATTCATAAAATCTTAAAGCATAAATAAAATCAGTTCTCCTTTTGAGCTTAAGATCGCAAGTCGTTTTGCCTTGTTCTCTTGTGCACTTCGTGCGTTGGTTCTCTGAACCTTTAAGCTTCTAGCTTGTTCTTGCACTCTGTGCGTTGGCTCTCTGAACCTTAAGCATATTGCTTGATTGATTAAAAGTCTCTCCTACTTCCTTAGAAGAGGGTGACTTTAAGTCGTTTAATTAGTTCCTTAGAACTAAGTGGCTTTTAGCCTTCACTCTATTTAGTTCTCTAGAACTAAGAGGCTTCCAGCCGAAAGTCTTCCTCTTGCTAAAGAGCTGTGCAGCTCCGCTACACCGGGTGCGTTGAGTGATTATTTTGGTAATTTTATCTCTGTTTATACTTTTGATCTATTCGTTGTAAGTACGAAAGTGTTCTTTGAATTTACTTAAGTGTAGGTCGATATATTACTGGCTAGTTAATGGGTCTGGCACCCTACGAATAAACCACTAATAAGATGACGCGCAGTAACCGCTGATCGGATACTGCCCTATGCCTACTTATGTAATTATGCATTATTCCTATAACGACTTATGTAATAGAATGGGCTATTATACAATTTCGCATCCCAATGGGAATTCCTCAAAGAGAAAGAAGTTGTGAATACCAGCTTACCCACTTGTGAATGTCACTCTTCACCTAAGGTACGCATGCCCCGAGAGGGCACTCGCCGCACTTCGAATCCGTTTTTAAAACGATTGGCCGTTGCCGACCTCAGACCTCACAGAGCCACTCGTAGTGTGCCACACCATAGTATAAGTATTACTATGGAATTACTTTGTAGTACACTAGTTTAAATTTGTATCGTAGTATTAGGATGAAAGTTGTTCGAGTTCTTTAGGTGCGGCTAAAGCAATAAATTAACGACAGTTCTCATTTATTAGTAGTCTAAGATTGTAAGGCTTGATAAGGCATTTACTCTTGCACAAATTTGTTCTGTACGTGTAAAAAACGCCCAATAGTTCATTAATCGCAAGCCTCTCTTATAGAATGTAGAAATTGGTATGAGCTGTTGCAAAACGTATGTCCAAATTTATCAACAGCTCAAAAATAGCAAGAAATTACTACAATCGTCATTCAAAAAAATAATACCATAACCAATGACGAATGTGGATTCCACCCATGCGACAAAGTTTAAAGACGGCAAGGACAGTAAAGGCCGCCTGTACAATGGCAATCGTATGTATCATAATACGATGTACGGCTTGTTCTTATTCATTGTCATGAGCTGCGCAATAGGCCTGATCTGTATCGCGTCGCTTGTCCAGTATGGAGATCTGCAGTTGCCACGTATTACAGTGCACAACAATAGCGCAACCGATGGCAATGGCATACGCGGAATACAAGTGAAAAAGATCATGCGGCATCTACCAGAGGCCAAGGACGAATGGGCAAGCAGCTTTGAGTGTGTAGGCTGGAAAGCTCAACAAGCTTGTTCTCCTAATGGAGGACCTGATCCGAGCAATGATAGAGCGTGCAATGTCACGGTGCGTCACGGAGAAAGTGGGTTTTGTGAAGTTCGACATAAAACGACGGGTGAAGTGCGTCACGTGATGAAGATGCACTGTGATTCGCTTTGTGTAAAAGTTAAGTTCAAATGCGAAGAATTTGCGAGTTTAATGGACTACGCACGTCTATCTACCGAGTATGTGCACGACTCGAATTTTTCGTTTATTGGTTGCCAACAGCAGCTGGTCGAGGATCAATTACGTGCTGCTGTAGCAATGACAGAGCAATCGGAACAAGCACAGGTGGAAATGATGAAAAAGGATCTTCAGCAGCTGAAAAAAGAACTGCGGGTTGTTCCAACTCCGCCTTTTTCGTACACACGGGGAATTACGATTGCAGTTTATAAGAAGTTGCTGCAAAGTGTGTACGCATCGGTAAGATCGCTGCGAGACATGGGCTGCACTCTGCCAATCGAGTTGTGGTATAAGCGCTCGGAGGTGGATGTGGCGCACCCGCTGCTTCGTGAATTGACTGAGCGATATGGAACGTACATGCGGGAAATGAAAGATCCACGAGCTGTCGGGTTTTATACAAAGCTGTATGCTATTTACTATAGCGCATTCGATCAAGTGCTATTATTGGATGCCGATAATTTTGCAGTGCGTGACCCGACGTTTCTTTTCGACACGCCGCAGTTTCAAAATAAGGGTGCTATCTTTTGGCCCGACTTTTGGAAACCAAGTTATTCGACTTTTAACATTCAAAAGACTAGCTACGTCTGGGAATTTTTCGGACTGGACTATGTGGACATGTTTGAACAGGAAAGCGGCCAAGTACTGATCAATCGAAGAATGCATTACAAGGCATTGAACGTGCTCATGTACTACGGTTATTCTCTTCCTCGAACTTACCTGAAGATGCGGCTCGTGTGGGGCGACAAGGATTTGTTTCGATTTGCATGGCTCAAGTCCAAGAGCTCGTTTTACATGATACCGGGGCCGCCTGGCTCCGCTGGAACAAAACATGCGGACTACGATCTGTTTTGCGGTGTTACCATGGTACAACACGACTTAAGTGGGCGTGTGCTCTTTTTGCATCGTAACGCACAGAAGCTTACACTTGACAACAACCGGATCTTGTGGACCCATATTCAGCAGTTCAATCCCACATCATCGCTCTTAGATTACAAAGTGCGTGGTTCTGACGGCGGCAAGGCTTTTCCACAATTTCGACGATGCTATGGTAAAGCGGTAAACTACGAAAAGCTCTTTACGCTAAAGCCGATGAGCGCGTTTCCCTTCGCGAATCTCGAGAATGATCTTCTTCGGCTTGCTGCTGCCGCCACTGATATTGTCCGACAAAGTGGCTACAAGAAACAAAATGGCAAGCCGACCGGAACAAATTAGCAGCAGTGACTGAGATTTTGCGACGCGTGCGGCTTACACGAATGATTGTCAAGTAGGATATCTGTTAAGTAAAAATGTTGAATACTTGTGGCTTCGTTCGAGAAACACACAAATAGATAGCGAATGAAATATGGTCGGGCATTTTTCAGTCGGTGACAATTTCATAGTTGTTAATACCTCGCACCGAGCTATCACGATCCAAGACATTCACCGTCTTGAGACTCGATCTCAGCACCTTCAAGCGTGGAACAATTGAAGTGATCTCGTACAAAATTGCGAACACGAGGAGTAACCATTTTTGCAACGATATGGTTCCGTTCAGTCGAATATGTAATCGTTGTGCTCGAAGGTTCCACGTAGTAAGTGATATTTTTGCCGTTTGGACATGTTGAGAGATCCATTGTCATTTGAATAAAACGTTGCTGTCGCTTTCAGTATCGGAAAGTAAAATTCTGTTCGTTTCTTTGGTTGCACACACGACAAACGGGTCTGGACATGTGATGTCACCGGTAAAGCCTGGTACAGATAACTTTTGTCCCTTTTCGATGCACTTAAGCCGCACATCTTCCAGTGTTTGACTACGTGGAATAGTGAGCTCAACAATAGCACTAAGGGTGCTTGAATTATTATCGATAAAACACCGCATGGCGTAGCAACCGCTCTGTCTCGGTGTACCTATCGACCATTGCAAAGAATCAGCACTGCGCAGAGAAGTCGCTGTGCACTTGCATGCAGGACAATACGTCTCACCAAAAGCGTTAATGGTGGTCGTGCCGAGTTTTGAAAGGTTCGTTGAAATGGAACAGTCACCACCTGTATAGCCCACAACGAGCGGACAGAAGTCTGCGTAGTTGTTTGATCCACCCTTTGTCGGATTTTCTGGAAAATATTGATACTCCGTTGGAATCATTAGGTTGTTCGTGCTTAGGGAACATACCGCGCGCGATGTGGCATCAATCGAGCATCCCTGGAACTCGTTTGCGGGTGTCGCACAGAAGTGATCCGAAGCTACAGGAAACATCGCAGGACCGAGGCACTTCTCAGTCACAAACGTGCAGCCCTTGTTCCGTCCGTAATGCATAACCTCAGAGATCGACGAATCAACGCGATACCAACCTGAATCTGCAAAGAAAGCCAACGTGAGAGCACTAAAAACGTTGCGATAGCTCGTGACGGGTGTCATGTATTCGGGTTCAAACAGTCGTTCTTCCCAGTGCGAACCGAGACATTCACCGTCTTGAGACTCGATCTCAGCACCTTCAAGCGTGGAACAATTGAAGTGATCTCGTACAAAACTGCGAACACGAGGAGTAACCATTTTTGCAACGATATGGTTCCGTTCAGTCGAATATGTAATCGTTGTGCTCGAAGGTTCCACGTAGTAAGTGATATTTTTGCCGTTTGGACACGTTCCTGATGAGCGCGTAGGCGGACTTCCTTTGCCATCTCGTGGAGTTCTCGGTGTACCATCTTCGTCTCGCATCAGAGCAAAGAAGCGAGATGAAAACCCAAGCGCATGAGTAAATTCATGAAGTGCTGTGGTCACCTGGGATTCGAAAGCTGACGTTGCAGTGCTGAGCTGGTTTGGGCAGAAATTGACCATTCCAAAAGTAGGACGATCGTACTGATCTTGCTGGCAGGTTGATGCGTAGGCTAACGTTCTACCACTCTTGCAACGGTCGGTGTCTTCAGCTCGCACGTATATGAGGAAGTCCGTGTTTGATATACCAGCTCCAGCCGGCGATACTTTGCAATTCGTGCAGCCATTGGAAGAGCACTTGTCGCAGTACTCCAATGAAGCGAAATGGTCATCTGGCATTGGCATTTCCAAGCACGTCTCGTTCGTTGCAATTGAATGGCACACCGGTGGTGTGGTGGCAAAATCGCGGGTGCAAAACCGCTCTGCAAAAAGGTTTCCACTAACAGGTACGACCTGAAGTCTCGTGCTGATACGTTGAATCGCTTCTCCTACAAATTTGAATACTTCGGCCCGGGTAGCGGTTGGGAGCTTGTTGAGACTTAAATCGTCATAGTATGGTGTCATTCGAATAGACTGGAACGTTGGTGATGCGTCTTGTAATTTGCGTTGTTTGCGTTTTCGATTGTCTGCTATGAACGGGTGATTGTCGTCGTAATTTTGATGTCCGGTGACGCACTTGTGGTCAAGTAAATCATGAATACAACTTCTTACCATCCGAATCGAACAACACGAGAGCAGCAACAACAGAATATACTTCGCTGACGAAAACATCATTACAGTCGTACAGTATGTCGAGTTAGTGTAGGTTTCTCCGACTGAAGGTGAGCTTGGAAATGCATAGCACCGAAAAGCCGCGATCAAGAATCTTTGAATTTCAAGAGACGTCGGTTGAAAGCACGCACATAACTTTATCTAAATATAAACTTAATCTAGCTCCGTGCAACTAGTAACTAGATGTGCACTATGCGCTGGACACGAGTGGTGGTCATCGGCCGACCCCACTTCTCAAAAACCAACAAAGGATGTTTGTCAACTAACTGAAAGCTCAAGATGCGAACAAGTTAATATATTGTCTTCAAAGCGAAGCTCAAAAATATTAGGTTTGCAACAGTCTAAAGCAGTTATTGTTGCATATTTGACTAAACCAGGTTATTTTGGATCGAAAAATGAAATACTTTAAGCTGTGTCTGTCGACATTTTCGTCCGAGCTCCGGATTGTATATTGTTTGACATACCGAAGTAGAAAAGATACGATGATGAGGCATCCGACTACCTCTCAAGATGTGACAGGACATCTAATTACACGTAAACATTAAGTAATATACTTAATGTTTGGTCTAAAAGTATCCATGATTACTTTTGACCTGTCACTTCGGGTGCGATACACAAATGTGGTCCACCCTCGTGAATGTGATATCCATTTATGGATTCACATGAGAAGGGATGACGCTAGTTGAAGCTAGGCATCAAGACGTCTCAGAAGGACGTCAGTTAGCGAGCTTCAATCTAGATTTAAGATCATGCGACAGGATACGCTTCTAAAGAGTCGCGTATCCGATCTATACTATATATATATATATATATAGCCAATCAGTAGTTAAATATATATTTAGTTATAATTAATTAGATATATCTCAGTCTTGAATTTACTTAAACATACGCACCACGCACGAGAAGTTGCAAGACTTCTGCGTGACGTCGGTGCTTTAGTGTTAAGAAGTTCGTTGCACTCTCGCTTAAGCGAGAGGCAACTGGTGATACGACTGCGTAAGCAGTCGACCAACCTCCCAACCACCCTCGCACGCGAAGGTAAGACGGTATAACCGCTTCCTCGCTTGTGCATAAGGTGTGTGCTCGTAGTACGAGGCAACTTCGTAGAAGTGCCCGTCTACACTTGGTAGCACTAGTAGTCCTTCCCACGTCCCGTCTCTCTGAGCGTGCGTGTGGTTGACATGGTCCTTAATATGGACTGGAGTGACTTCCCTTACCTCTCCCAACATCATAGGGAGTTGGCAGAGCATATGGCGCAGGACCTGGTGAACAAGCCCTGGTCAATCTTTTGCATTGTCCTCCTGAGCAACATGTTGCTCAGTTGGAGCAATTTGAGGCGTTTGTGCTCGGACAGCGTAGAAACGCGTCCGAGGTAAACAGCCAAGCCACCGCTGAGTCCATCACTAAGACTCAGGATGAGCTTAGGCTTGAGCAGGCACGTAATGGGGCGCTCAACAGAACTGTTGAGACGCTCTCTGCCCGGCCTGCTCAACCAAGGCCCATTCGGATGGACTCTCCGAAGTTCGATGGAACTAGCCCTCACACGATTGTTCACTGGCTATTAGCAGTGGAGCAATGTGGAGTGGCGCAGCTCATCTAAGACGACACCAGAATGGTATCGTATGCCATGTCCAACTTGCGTGGCAAAGCGTCAGAATGGTCATACTCTGCGCTGATGGCTAATGCTGATGCATTTCCATCATGGGCGATCTTTAAGGCAAAGATTCGTGCCATGTATCAGCCGCCTAACAACGAAGTGTTGCTTATGGCGCGCTTCTTTAGAGCACGACAGGCGAACCGCTCTCTGCAAGAGTTTGTGCAGGAGATGCGTTCGCTGTCGGCGTCCATCAATGGGGAACCGATACCAGAGCGTATCAAGGTGGCCACGTTCATGAATGGACTTAGGCATGGCCATCGCGTCAGGCCCTTTTCAGAAAGGTGCCAGCGACGATGGAAGAGGCAATTGACATTGCCTTAGTTGAGGAGCAATCCTACAACAGCGCCTCGGCGACAGCCTATTACAGGCCGTCGTCCGAGAAGTCTAATGCCACTCCTATGGAGTTAGGTAATGCAGATGTGATCTGCTACAAGTGCGGCAAGCGAGGCCATATGATGGCTCGCTGCTATGCCAAGGTATCTGCTGGTGCTAAGGCAGCCAGCAAAAGGTCTATTCCCAACCCGAAGGGAGGTGCGAAAAACCAGCGTGCACGACGCACGGGTTCAGCACCTGCCCAAGATGGGTCGGGAAATGCGGTAACGCAGTAGGGGCTGGATGCCCTACTGTCGCGGACTCTGAAGCTACCCCTAAGTTCAGAGTGATAGAACAAATGGGTAGCATAGTCCCTGAGGTTCCGAAAGGTCGGACCTCAACCCTTTTGGTCTATAGCGTTCGAGTACGAGGCGATGACCAAGTGATGACCCTTCTCGTGGATTCGGGTGCATCACAAAACTTTGTGAAACTCGCGGCTCTGAAAAAGAGGCCGGCGAGTTATGAGTCGCTTTGCCAGGATGGCAAGCGAGAAGAGGCGATCGTTCGTTTAGCGAATGGCGCGCTCGTTAAATTGGAAAGACTTCAAGTTGGACTCGCCTTCAGTTTCAGTTCTCTTGTAAGAAGAAGTTCACAGTGCTAGGTATGGAGAGTCCGTATGACCTCATCCTAGGCATGCCTTGGTTGGCTAAACACCAACCATGGATAGACTGGCGTACACGCACAGTCGCTAGCTCTACGCAAGACACCGGAAAGGATGTGCTCTTGCGAGAGGCTTATGTGGATGGTGCTGTGTCCAACACGGTCGAGGGTGCGATGACGGTATGTCAATCGACACCAGGAACTACCCAGCTCGAAAGGAGTGGTGTAGTTGGAAGTGCACTGGCGGAAAGCCAGGTGACACATATTCCTACCCAGGTCGAAGAGACTGGTGTAGTGAATGGGGCGATGACAGGTAGTCATGCGTACAATGGTCCTGCACAGAGCCGAGAGCCTGTGGCAGTTGACGGTGGGCTGACAGCAAGTCAAGCGCCACAAGAACCGGCACAGTGCCAAGAGCCTGGTGCGGTTGGAAGGGGTGCGTTAGCTGAGATAGCAACGACACCTTCTTCCAGGTCAAAGGTCGTGGTGACTCGAAGAACGAGCACCAGACGTATTAAGACGATCAAGGGCACGTCGAAACGAGTGACCCTTGGATCAGTCTCGGTCCAAGAGGACGGACCTACGAACGAGTTGTTCGAGGCCGTCGAAGACAAAATGCCGGAGGCATTCTCAGTTGAGGTGCTCCAACTTGTCTTGGCATCTGCCGAGGAGATAGTAAATCTCTCGGAGATGACGTGGAATCTGTTTCTGTCCGAACTTAAGGAAAGAAAGATCCACGAGATAGTCGCACCAGTTTCAGGAGAGAACGTGGTGGACTGTTGCTCTTCATCCACAATGTATGGGAGAGCGTCTTGGAGACGGACAAAAAGAAACGGTTCACTGCTCAAGGCTGGGATGCCTTGAAGGACAGCCCGTTCTATGATGTTCTGTGGAAACACCGCGATGTGTTTCCAGCAGAAGTGCCGAGCCGCCTACCGGCCGATAGGGGCATCAGGCACGAAATTGACCTGGAACCTGGCACCAAGTATTGTGTGACCAGGCAATGGCCGTTGCCGAAGGAACAAGTCGATTACATCGATGAGTTCTTCGACAAGCGAGCTAAGGCGGGACATGTACGTGAGAGCAAGTCGCCTCAATGCAGCCCGACCTTCTGTGTGCGTAAAGCAACGGGTGGATGGCGCGTGGCTCACGCTTATAATAAGCTGAACACGGCCACCATTCCAGCTCAAACGCCGATCCCGCGGAAAGATGTCTTGATAAATTCCATGGGAAAGTCAACTATCTTTTCCGCGTTGGATCTGAAGGATGGCTACTATCAGGTTCTCATGAGAGATACCGATGTAGCCAAAACGGCAGTAAGCACCCCAAGCGGTATGCTGTGGGAGTGGCTTGTGATGCCACAAGGGTTGAAAAATGCTCCGGCAACATTCAACCGAGTAGTGGCTCACGTGATGCGTCAGCACCGTGCCTACGCGCCCCATTACTTTGACGATGTATTCGTGCATAGTAGGGCGGAGGACGGTCTGAGCACGATAGAGTCGCACAAGCGTCATTTAGACGCTGTGTTGCAGACTCTGGGTGACGCGCAATTATACGTGAACTTGCAAAAGTGCGTAATAGGGGTCCCCGAGATCCCTGTACTGGGCTGCATCGTAGGTGCACATGGTGTACGAGCAGACCCAGAAAAGGTAAAGGCTGTAAAGGAATGGCCAGTCCCACGACATGTGAAGGATCTGCGCCAATTCCTTGGGCTCGCTAATTACTTGCATAAGTACAGCAAGAATTATGCGGATCAGACTAAGCCGTTGTCTGACCTTTTGAAAAAGGATACAGAATGGACTTGGTCATAGGAACAAGAAGATGCGTTCAATTCAGTGAAGCAATCTCTTGTAGAGGCACTGGTCTTGGCATTGCCAGACGCGGATAAGCCTTTAGCGTCGTCTGCGATGCAAGCAATTTTGCAATCGGCAGCGCGCTTATGCAGAAGGATGGCAACGGCTTTGACCGTGTCATTTCGTATAAGTCTCGGCTTTAAAAGCTGCCGAGCTGAATTACCCTGTGCATGACAAGGAGCTACTTTCAATTAAGTATGCCCTTGTGAAGGTGCACCTCTTGGGCACCGAACCTTTTGTGGTTTATACGGATCACGCATCACTGCGGACCGCTATAAATTCACCGCACCTTTCGCCGAGAATGGCGAGAT